CTGGGGGGCCACAAATGATGCAGCCGGAGTCCTTCTCCCCCGTGGCAACTCTGTAAGTGCATTTCGTTGTCAGCAGTCAAAGCGTTGTAACTCTTCCTGGGTTGGAAGGGACGAGGATGTTCCCTCAGTGAGGTCAGATGTCATCATCTGCTGTTTTTACATAATCTGCTGTATCTTAAATATGTATTTCAAAGTGTATAGATATTTTTAGTCATTCTTTAGCAGACTCTGTTACCTGTTCCTCTCCGTATGTTAAGAGTTGGGGCATATATTTCTTGTCCGCAAATTGCAGTGTTTTTGTGGAGGACCTTATATTAGTAGTAAATCATATAACTTTGTTCTTTTAACTCAAAAATACTGGAGGCAGCTAATCTACCTAGTTTATAAGGCAGCTTGGAGGGCGTCATTTTAATGCAAGGTATGTTCACCTCCATCATATTTCTGCCTGTCATCTCCCAATGAACTGAATTGATCTTAGACCTCTAAATTTGACAAAACTTTCCCCACTGTGACTAAGACAGGCTTCCAGTTCTGATGTACCATAAAAGGTAGATAATTTTCAGAGGTAGGGACAAGGCATCCTCTAAGACTTGTCCCTACCAAGTGCCTTAGGGCAAAGCAATAGAGCTGAACTGGAGCAAGGTGTATAGGAACATAGATATATAACTTTTTTTCTATGCCCTGTTGTATGTATTTCATGAAAGCATGATAAGTAAGGAATTGATCACAGTGTTTTTTACTGAGCAATACCCCAGTCCTGGAGGGGAGCTGAGCATTACCCTCCCCTCATGCAGTGAACCTGGCAGAAGCCGTGCTTTCAGCCCCTATTTGCTGGGCAGCAGCAGGACCAAACTTGTCCATGCGTGATAACCAAAGCTGTGATAACAACACATATTTTCCCTTCTCAGTCTAAAAGATGTGGTGGCATTCAGTGCCTGTGCCTCGGGTCTGCCGTCCTGGAGGTTTTGGTGCTGCAGCCTGCTGTAGTGGTGTGCTCATAGCTCATGGGGGAATCTGCTGACCTTTTGCAGGGGCTTAGCTTTGTGTGAGAGAAAACAGGAAAAACACGTTGTCTTTAAAAAGAGCATCCGCACTATAGAGATGGTTTTCTCTATGTGCAGTAAGTATGTTTTCATGGCTAAAAAAAAGTTAATCTGTCCACAATAGTTCAATGTGATATTGGTGTTGCACGCCGCTTCTCTCAATTCTGACTGCTGGTGGCGTAGATAGGCAGCAGTGCTGCTGGAGGGGAACTGTTTGAATATGGCTTTAAAAATGTTAATGTAATTTTATATTAATATTAAGTCATGCCCATGCTGATTTTTCTTCTTATTATTATTATGTTCTGCTTGTGCCTTGCTCAGTTTCTGAACAGCAAGATATACTGTGTGGAGCATTTTAATGGAAAATGTTTGAGCGCAGTTTGGTGTGGTGGTAGTTAAAACAGGATAGCCCACATTTAAGAAAGATTATTGTTGTTATGAAAATTCTACCCCTTGGATTATTTCCAGTGAGGTTAAAGCATCTGTGTACAACACCGTTATGTAAAGAGTTGTTCCAGAAGTGTTTTGCATGTGCTGCTGTTGGTGCAGGCAGGGCTGGGATGCTGAAATGGTGGGAAGGTGCAGCTGAGAGCTCTTTATACTGCACTGCTATTGAGCTCCCACTCTTTGGTAGCTGTTCATAGGACTTGGGCTTAGCTTCTAGTGACTCATACTACTTTTGTATGTGCAGTCAGAATTAATTCTATTTATTTCAGTATTTTGAAATCCATTTTTTTGACGTGTAGATTTTCAGTGTCCATAGATTGGGGTATTTTTTGTGTGTGTGCTGTTGCAGTGGAGTTGCAATGAAAATCCCTTTGCTGCATGCGTTGTGTGTCTGCCACAAGAGCATCGTCATGCAGCATGAACCTACCACTCTCTTTTAAAACAGCACTACAGTTCACATGCATGCTGAAATATTGTAGTGTGTGCAATAAAGGACGCCTTCCCATTGCTCTTAGCTGTGAACAGGCAGAAGTGAAAGCATACCTCTTCTCCTACATGGGCCAGGCATTAGCGTAAGCAGGAAATTGATTCAGTTAACCATTGGCGTGCTCTCCATGTCACAAAAAAGCACTTTTTCCCCTGACGGTTTCCCTTTGGTTTCAGTTCCAAGGCCACGGGCGCTGGAAGCCAGAAGTGGACGAAGAGCTTCTGCAATCCGCCCTGAGTCACCGGTGGGAACTGGGACGGGAATCACGCGCCACCTGCGATGGTTTGGATTGCATCCCGCCGAGCGCTGGCCGGCGGTAGGTCTGGCGGTAGGTCTGGCACAGGGCTGCCTTTCTCGGCTCCTCCGAGCCCACCTCCCCAGCTGGTTCACACAGGCGCTTCCCCAGCGTGGGTGAAGCATCGCCATCCACTGGCCCTCTCCTGGGGCAGCCCGTTTCCTCCAGCAAAGCAGCTGCAAACCCTGCAGCAAACCTCCTGCAAGGCTGGCAGTGGTGGCAAACATCCCCAGTCTTCTGGGCGCCCCGAGGTTTCCGTTCTGCCCTCTGAGCAGGCAGGCTTGCCTTTCACCTAAAGTGCTCTGTCCTGTGCCCTGAGGTGCCCTGAGCTGTGCAAAAGGCTCCTGAGTGAGTCTGAGGTGCAGGAGGAGCTCTCACAGAGATGCTGAGAGTCTCCATTTTTAGGAATGGGATCTGGGTTGGGTGCGTCATGAAGGTGTTTAAGGATATAAAGGTTCTTGTTTCAGCAAGGTAGTTGGAAGACGTTGTACCACAGTAGTGCTCCTTGCAGAAAGAGATGGGAACAAATGTGTTTGATTTGATGAGCAGCGAGAGCTCTGAAGGAGTTTCTGGATGGGATTTTGGGCTGGTGACTGTGTTTCTTCTTAATACATCCCATAACTTCGTTGCCTAAAACATCTGTAACATTGTTCACCCCAGCTGGAAGTACTTCTGGAGTTAAGGTAGAACCTTAAAGGCAAAACAGGTAAAACGTGGATTTTATTTTTTTTTTAGTGTGTTTTTACACAGTGTGGCATTAACTTGCTAAACCATGCTATCAGGTGATATATGTCCTGGAGTGTAACAGGACTCAGGAAATTGGATACCATGTAAATGGGAGAGAGCACTAATAAGAGAGAGGAAGGAAACATGTTTCAGGATTCTCACCAACCAACAACAGAATGAGTTTGTAGGAAATTTGTCCTGTAGGTGGTCTATGCTGTGGAAGTTGACAGTGACAGCTGTCCATCTGCCTTTGAAGCAGCAGGTGCGCTCTGCTGCTGGCATCAGCTACCAAGGCAGCCCAGGCACAAGGCTGGTAATCCCTTGGGCTGCATTTGGGCATCTCTCGTTCGTGCGAGGAAAATAGAATTGCTCCTTACTAAGCGTCAGAGAACCGGGAACCCCGTTTTCAGAGGAGAAAAGGTCAGCTGTATAAAAATGAAAGGAGTGACATGGACAGTCATCTCTGGTTTGAAGCAGAAGGCTGTTCATTTGGAGGGACCAAACAGGGTAATTTGCAAACTCCAGTTGGAATAAGTCTTTATGCCTGGAATATGATTAGGGCTCGTATTCCTGTGGGCTACCGACGTTAGATGGCCAGTTGTGCTGGAGTAAGTCTGACATTCAGCCTGGTGGAGGGCAGGGAGGCTCTCACAAGCTGGGCAGGTAAATTCTCCGTACAACTGTGAACAAGGGTGTTGAGTTACAGGAGCACGCAAATGTTTGCTGTGAAATACGTTTTTGTTGGTTAAGTGCTTTGGCTTGTTTTTGAATCAGGTACTTCATCTGTCTGCAGGATTTCCTCACCCAGTATGGGATATTAAAGTAGAAAGGAAAATGGATGCTGCTTTCTGAAGCCTAATTGCTGCTTTCATGGGCCAGGAATCCACGGCAGCAGGGAGCTAGGGCAGTATATCGGTACTTGGCATACTGTTTCATGCAAGCCATGAGGTTATTAATGGTGATGTATTGGCCCTGCTTCCCTACGAAAGCAGCAGATACCCTCGGTGACCTTGCAGGAGCTGAGTCAGAGCTCTTGGAGAGGTGCTGATGCCAGTAAGAGTGACTCGAGTGACTGACAAGGTGGGTGGTGCATGCAGAGGCGAAGTAGCGTCCCACAGCACAGCTATAAAAGTGAGCACTTCCCCTGTGAAACAATGCGAGACCTCAGGTGCATTGTGCTTTTGTACACATCCTGTAAGGAAAAAATGTCTTCTGAATGCAAAGCCACAAGAAATGAAAATGAGAGTGGCTCTAGGTCTCGAGCTACTTGCAAAAAAAATACTGCAAGATTGAGGGACCGGTGGCAAATCTCAAGGTTTGTGACTTAGGGCTGAAAAAAAATGTTGCTGGGTTTTCCTATTAGAAAATTAACATTGCATTCCTGTGCTGTGTATGAGCTTTGGTAGGTTGAGAGAAACACTTATGTCACTCTTCTGATTGCCATCTTGCTTTTCTGTCTTTTTTTTTTTCCACCACTTCTTTCAGGCAGGATTAATATAGCCAAGAACTTGCACATAATTAAGTAAAATTTTGAAAAAATAGGGTTAGAGTTTGCTGCTATGAATGAGTGATCAACAGGAAAAAGAAAGATGTCAAGTTAAGAGGCTTTGACTCCTGTAACACCTGAACTGAAGGTAAAATCCCCTTGTTGCCTTTTTTTTGTATGCTCCTTGCTGTGAATCACAAAGCTGTCTCCTGCTTGAACCAGTACAATGAACTTGTGAAGTCATGTGGGTGGGCTCTGCCTTAAGTGTAGACTTCCCTGGCAGACATTAGGGCCAAGACTTGGCCTTTGCTTTCCCCAGCCATGTCTGTGACTCTTGTAATTTTTTTAAGACTAAGAGCTGCTGCAAGAAAATTTAAAAAAACATAAACATCTCTATTCTGCGGAATAGTTTTCAGATTGTGAAACTCTTTTCCAAAGAAGCATGCTTTGATGCTTGTCGTGTAACCATCGTTTTGTGGTTCTCTGAGCATTTTGTTGTTCTTCCATAGCTGGCGCTGCATTTACCTCCGAAATCTGTCGCATCCTGCTGCAGATGACAACCCTCCCGTGAGCGGCAGCCTGCTGCAAGTGGTAGCCAAGGCAGTGTGGCTGCCAGTGAATATTTGAAAGGAATCCCCCTGTGTCTGGTTCCCAGCGCAGCTCCCATGGCCTGTGACGAACCTGCTGCTCTCTCGGGCATCTTCACGCGCCAGAACTCTGCCAGCGCCATCTCTCTGGACTTTGAGCCTGATGCCGACTACAAGTTTGTTGAAACCTTAGAAGACAGGTACAAGTGCGCCTACTGCCACCTCGTCCTTCGCAATCCCCACCAGACGGGATGCGGGCACCGATTTTGCCAACAGTGCATTCTTTCTCTGAGGTCAGTGCAAATTCTTCCCGCATCTACAAGCTCCCCGTACGCCCCTTCCTCAAAAGAAGTCAATGCCTTCTATAAATCAGCAGTGAGTGCCATAATAATAGTACTGATCTGATAAAACCCTGAAGGAGTCAATGGAAAGGCTCTGCTGAACTCAATGACTGCATGCTCGGTGTTTTAAAGGTGTCTTTAAAGACCTTACCCAGTGCTGGCGAGGAATACTTTGGTAACTGCAGGGAAGAAATTGTTGATGTAAGCTTAAGCACTACTGCATGAGATGCTGTTTCAGTCTGTCTGTCTAGCATTGTGCTGTTCAGATTAATTTGTTGCATTAATGTCTCTCAGTACTGGCACTGGTGGTTAGATTAAGCTGTTTTTGTTTGCTTCTGTACAATTTCTTTTATTTTAGTGGAGTTATAAAACTGATGTTAGTATTACCTGATATTACAGTCAAATCATAAGGCTGCTGGCATCCATCTGCTTGGGATTTACCTGCAGGTACAAATGAGTTTACCCGGCAGACCTGTCTGGAAATACATTACATACTGTTTGGTGTACCTGAGGGCAGGATTTGGCTTGGGAAGGCTGCAGAGAAGCCTGATTACGTGGATGGATGTCGCTATTTACCTTTTATGAATTTTAGATGCTTTGTGTTTGCTGCTTTCTCTCTCTGGGTTGCCTCCCTTTTGCACTGCCTCAATAAGTGTTTTTCCATCCTTTATCGTAGGACTTCTGGAAGCCTTTTAAGACAGGAGCCCTTAGATCTTCTTTTACTGGCGTAGCAAGAAGTGTGCTGCTTGCACAAGGCAAAGGCTGGGTATAATGCACACGATGGGATTTTTTCAGATATGATATTTGCAAGCAGCAGATGGCCAGAGAGTGACAAAGGCCTCTTAATTAAAAAACATCAACAGTCATAGGACAAACTCTGCTTTCTGTTACATATTCACTGTCGCAGCTTAATACCCTCTTAGAGCTGTGGGCAGAATTTGGCTGTGTAGTTGCCAGACAAAAATATTTTCAAAGCACTTTTTTGGGTTTTATGGTATCTAGTACTGACTTCTGCCAGAATCAGATTCTAGCATAGCCCAATTTCATAAAATAAATCAAATTTTCTGTGGGTTAACATGAATCTTCTTTTGATCTAGAGAGTTGAATGCAGTACCCACTTGTCCTGTCGACAAAGAAACAATAAAAATGCACGAGGTAAGTGGCTGTAGTTTTACTCCAGCAGTCAACATCTGCACGGAAAAAGCAAGACAGCTGAGAACAAGGTGGCTCATAGTCTGTTAGTCCTCAGGGGCAGAGCAGTTTTTGTCTTTGAAATGATGCTAAGGGAAGCAGTGTATTCAGTGATGCTCTCCCAGAAAGGAAGTATGGCTATAGAGCTAAAGCTTTATTTTATACCTCATGTTCTGAAGTTATTTCATTTTAGTCCTCTGTATTTCCAGTAGCGTTGAAGAGTTTCACAAAGTTTTAAATCTTCTCTAGTCTTCAGATGTTTGGGTGGGGGTTTTTTAGGGGAGAGTTTATTGACTTACTTTTTAATGCCTCATCTTGCTGGGGAATCTTTTTTATTGATTGTCTTTGTTTTGACTTGGTTATAATTTGCTACCTTAACTATTTCCATTATATATCATTAACCCTGCAGACTTAAATTTACTTTTTGGTAACTGTTTAGAGGAAAAGACAAGTTCATGCTTCTTATTTTGCAAGCTACTGATTTTTATTTTTGTTTTGGTAATGGTTTTGTTTGTCCTTATTTATATGCCACAGCTTGAAAGTATGCCAGATACTTGGTCCTGCCAGAATGAATTTTTCAGTGAAATCAAATGTCTCCTTCCTCTCTTTCTGCTATTGCTGATAGGAAATTGCAATTAGACTTTCTATGTGATTTTCATCTTTCACTCGTTGTCTTCTCCTTTGTGCAAATTTTTATGGCAGTAGTGCAACAGTGAGCAGCTTTATTATGCTCCCTATAGGAAGATCTCTAAATAAGACTGAAAGTTAGCTCTGGGGGCTTAATTTGCTTCTGCATATGTAACTGGGAACAGTGCTGTTTCTCAGAGTCTATAGAAGGGGTATCTCAGCATCGTCTCCATCCCAAAGGCAGGCTGCGCTGCTTGAACATCAGAGGAGTGTGCACAGAGCTGGTTTGGTCTTTGGGGTCTTTTAGCTCCAGCTGCTTTCTTCTAGATACAGGCAGGCTCTGGGAGCAGTTTTATAGCTCCTGAGCTACTAATCCTGTTGGCTGTGGGATGGATCAGCATATGTGGAATAACTATATGGGGAAAAAAACCTATGCTTATTAGAAAATTCATATTTTTAATATAAGTTTTCAATATGAATTATCAAGAACCATACTCGCAATTATGGAGTCTACACTTGTGTGCTTAAAAGATTTGTCGTGACGTTTTGCTTTTTTATATTCTTTATAACATCCTATGTGACTGTGTATGAAGGTTGGTTTGCTTCCTTTACAGGTATTCAAAGACAACTGCTGTAAAAGAGAAGTTCTCAACTTGCATGTGTTCTGCAAAAACATTCCTGACTGCAATTCAAAAATAATTCTGGGACGATATCAGGTTAGTTTGCTTGATCGGTTTTGAAGCCTTTGATTTTCATGCAAACTCTGTGTATTTATGATAAGCTGAATTCCAGTGATTGTCTTCAGACTTCAGAGTTACTGTAGCAATGTGGTTTAAGTACAAAGATTATGACTTAGCTATACACTGTAAGGAACAGATGTTAAGCTCAAAATATTATGGCTGTTAGCTTGTTCCAGCTTTGCCTTAGGTTATTTGTTTAAAAAGAACCATTTGCTTTATGTAGCTTTCATATATCCACAGAGTCTACTCATACCTTCTGTATGCTTAGGTGCCATGTAATGGTTGATTGAAGAAAACTTGCCAAGACATATTGGCCATTTGGGCCTTTATTGAATGAAAAATGGAAGTCATACAAAGGAACCTCCAAATTTTTACGTTCACTTTAATTTTGAGGTTGGAAAAGGAGAAAGTTTACGGAGGAAAGAGTATTTGGAATTTTGTTTGTTACCAAACTGCTAAATGTTTCTGTGAGTCTGTTAAGCACCTGCAGATGCAATGAAATACTTTGGGGTTTAATTTGCTGTTGCGTGTTGCAGGAGCACCTTCAGCAGTGTTTGTTTGAAAGCGTGCAATGCACCAACGATGGATGTTGTGATCAAATTCTTCGGAAAGACTTGAAAGAGCATTTGAGCCGGCACTGTAAATTTCGAGAAGAAATGTGTCAGTACTGTAATAAATATGTGGTGTTAATTAACATAAAGGTAAGATTATAAAGCATTCCCTGGGAATCCATAGCACGTGTTTCCTCTTAGTGTTGCTGAGTGAAAGGTTTCCAGCATTGCAATGGGGCTTAACAACTCCTGAAACAAAATTTGGCTGAGTAGCTGAAGGAGAAAGTATAATAAATGTGCTTGCTTTAAATAACACCAATTACTGTTGCTGTTATGAACAACAATGTGATATGGGACTTGCACATGTATGTTTGGGATTATTGTTTGCATAGCTTCCTCTATGTATACTACTTTACAAAAATGCAAACCATTGCCTTGTTTTCTTTCTTTTTCCCCAGAATCATGAGAAAAATGACTGTCCTGATTATCCTGTGCCTTGTCTCCAAAACTGTTCACAAATAATTCTGAAAAAGGAGGTACTATTATTTTTTTCATATACTGTGACTCAGCAGATCACACACATTTATGAAAACTAAAAGTTATGTTGCAGATCACGTTGGCCTGTGCCAATAAAACTTCATTGCACTAAGTATTTTCTTTGTTTGGTCCTAAAAGGGATATATGTCCCATCTTACAAGTGAGGTGTTCAGTCACTGCAAATCATTGGCATTTTGCAGTATGGAAAAATATCTGGCTGGCTTATTGACTCTGAATACTCATTTTCCTGTTTACGTGATTAGTGGTGTCATGACATTGGCCTTTATTCACCCTTTAAGCAGGCATTCAGATTTTATCAGTGCAGCAAGTTACTTAATATTTATTTCATTACAAGTTTCTTTTATGTTAATGTGCGCAGATTGAAAAGCACCACGCGGTGTGCCCTGAGGCAGAAGTGGACTGCCCATATAAGCAGTATGGCTGTCTTGTAAAGGTACTGTTTTATAGATCTTGTTTGTACCGGGACTGGAATTTGTCTCCCAAACCAATTGGAGTAACTAATCAAAATAACCAATTTTTGTTCTTTCACAACCATTTCTAGTATTGGCTAAGATGCTGTACTAGAGAATCAGGACTGCCATTCCCTCACTTTCAAAGCACAGAGGAGATGTTTTAAATGCTTGCATCAATTAATTTTTTACTAACAGCTTCAAAAATCTGTGTATCTTATTATTTTATTCTTTCACTTCCCCCTCTGCCTCACTAAGGTTAAAAGAGGGAAACTTGCCGAACATGAAAATGGTGCCCTGAGGGAACACATGCTGCAGATTTTAGACAAGAACTCCCAGTTGGAAGAACAGGTAAGTCATATTTAATGAGCACTCTTGAGCATTTCTTGGCTGCTTGGAGGACGATATGAGATTCTGCATTTGTTGCCTGGTTTAGCTCAGCTACGTTTTAAAAGAGGGGGTTTATTATCATCTGTGTACTCCTCAGAAGTCAAAATAAGCTCTTCTAGTGAAGTCAGTCAATTAGATGGAAACCTCTCCGTGCTCAGGCACGTATATTCTCCACCAAACACGGTGGGAGGCTCGTTGCCATCACTCACCCCATTTGCTTTCGGTCTCTGCTTATCATTGATATGAGGGTTGGAGATAAAGCATTTAAAAGTTTCAGTGGCCAGTCAGATTACTCCGAAAAGGAGCCTTTAGATGCCCAAGTCACCCCCTCTGTAGAGGCAGCACAGAGTAGTGCAGAGGCAGTTGTAAGCACCTTTCCACTTGTGATCGCTTCTGTGGCTCCCAGCTGGTGACACTGGGTGTATGCCCAGTCCTGCTAAGATGTATGCATCCAAACTGGTGATTGACTTACTCTTCTGTTTGTTTATGCTAAAAATAAGTGCCTCAAAATGCTACAACTTGGGTTTGGAGTTAGTACTACTCACTGACTCATCTCTTTTAGTGGCTAGATCCTAGTATGGGGGGGAGCGGGAACTATATACATACACACAGAAACAGATGTATTATCCCCCTATAGAGCTGAATGGATCATCATGATTGAGATGAGAGATACAAGTCTCGTTGCACCTGTTGCCACACAGATCTATTAAAGAGTATGTTTACCTTATGTTCAGTACTTGCCAGTGCTTATCCACGAATTGTGAATTAAGTAGTGCTGTATCTTGCTAAGTTAGAGGTTTTGCATTGTAAACTTTTCCACTTTCTCCTATGTAGTCACATGTGTCTTAATTTGTTTGTTCTATATTTTTGGTGTGCCTTAGCGTTTTTACTCTGTTTTTTTCCATCTGTAGATATCTGACCTGTATAAGAGCCTGGAATGTAAAGAGATTAAAATCCAGCAGCTAGCAGAGGCCATTAAAAAGTGTGAGAAAGAATTCAGACAGTTTACACAACTGTTTGGTAAAAATAGCAACTTGATGGTAAGCACACAGGTGAGACATAATTTTATCTTTTTTGGCCAATTGCTTTCTTGCATCCTGAAACGTGTTTATCCAGTAGTAGTTGTCATTAATAGCAGAGCAATAACCAATCTCCCAGACACTTCACAAGCCCTTCTTGCTTTTTTAGAATACAGTATTTTCTTTTCATTTTAACCAATAAAGAAGTTTGGATATCTGATCTGGACAAAAAGAACTGTATAAATCCTCATGGCCAGATCCCCATGGCAAATATGCAGGTGTAAATTTGAATAATAGTTGAATGAAGTGATGCAGTGCAAATGGATCTGAGTAAGGGGTGGCTTCTCAGCCACTAAATGCCAAATTAATTGTGAAGGAGCATTTGGATATGTTCCTAAGCCAGCAGAGTACTTTTGAATGCACCATACAATTGATATTGCTGACATGCTAAAGGCTTCTTTATCTTATTTCAAATGAAATGGCTGATTTTATGAATGTCTCTTGTCTCTGCTTCCACCTTCTTCCAATGGCATGAACTGGGAAGGCTCTGGCCAGTCACCTGGATAAGTCTGCGCGCCTGGAATCGCAAGTGAAACAGCTAATACAGATGGCAAACCAGCAACAAAGCAAATTAGACTTGCGACCCCTGTTTGACACAATTGAACATGTAAAACAGAAGATTGCCCTGATGGAGACATACGATCAGCGCTTGGGTGTGTTGGGACTTTCAGTTCTTTTCTGCACGGGTGTGGGATTTTGCGGATTTACTGGTAGCTAATAGAGGCTCTGGTGCTACAGTCAGTCAGTTGCAGCTCTTCGCCAGGAAGGACTTTCTTCTCGCTTTCTAAGACCAAGCCATGGTGCTGTGTGTGCTGCGTACTCCCACCTTCCCCTGCTCCACAATGTCTCCTGAATTCCTGTGACACTGCAGGGCCAGAGAGCTGGCCTTGGTCAGGCTCGTGCACTGTGGTGGAGGCAGGGGTACTGTGCAGTCAGGCATTAAATCTGGTTTGTAGTTACCAAATTTCCTTATTCAACTGCAAGCTGCAATTACAATTAAAAAAAGTTAACAGTAACAGCCTGTACTCAGTAGTTCAGAATTGTTAGCTCGAGTCCGGTTGCTCTTTGTATCCAGTGCTCTGACAGTTTTATTTTACCAGATGTTTCTCTCCTTTTTTTTTTTCTTTTTTTCCTTCCCCCCCCCCCCCCCCCCCCCAGTTGTTTTGGAAGATCAGTCCAGCAAACACGATCGCCAGATCAATATTCACAAAGCACAGCTTAATAAAAATGAAGAACGGTTTAAGCTTTTGGAAGGCACATGCTACAATGGGAAATTAATCTGGAAAATCACGGACTACAAGATGAAGAAAAAAGAAGCAGTGGAAGGCCGTGTCCTCTCCATATTCAGCCAGCCCTTTTACACCAGCCGTTGTGGGTACAGGTTATGTGCAAGAGCCTACCTGAATGGGGATGGCTCGGGAAAGGGAACACACGTCTCCCTCTACTTCGTGGTGATGAGAGGGGAGTTTGACTCGCTGCTACTGTGGCCTTTCAAGCAAAAAGTTACACTTATGCTTTTGGACCAAAGTGGGAAAAAAAATCACATCGTGGAAGTCTTTAGAGCTGACCCCAACAGCAGCAGTTTCAAAAGGCCGGATGGAGAAATGAATATTGCCTCTGGATGTCCACGCTTCGTGCCACACACGGTCCTGGAGAACACAAAGAACACCTACATCAGAGATGACACTCTGTTTTTGAAAGTGGTTGTGGATTTAACCGATCTGGAGGAATTGTGAAAAGCGTGCCCGATCCATGTGACTGCTTTAAACATTTCGAAATGCTTTTTTGGAGACTACTAGCCATGCAATAGTGAATTGCCACTAGTCGAGCTACTGATAATGTTTCGAGGCTTTTGGACTGCATAACAGATAATGAATTGCCAAAGCATCAGCCTTTCCTTTTTTAACCTTTTTTTCAAGACTGCGTTTTTAAGGCAGCTAGAAGTCCAGTTTGATGCGAACATGCATTCGATCCAGACTTGGCTCAGTCCAGGCTGGGGGGAATGCTTGTGTCCCATCACCAGACTAGTGTTTGGAGACAAAACTCCTCCAGTAAGCCCCCTGGAGCCCAAGCAGGCCTGTGGGCTCCCATCCCTCACACAGAACTGAAGCCATGCCCAAGTGTGCAAGTGCATTTCACTTGTCTGAAATGGAAGCATTTCAACATTAGCACATTTGAATCAATGTATCTTGATCCCTCCATCTCCTGGATTTTTGAAGTGGAGAGAATGGCTTCAATCAGGCAGGGAAAACATTTGCCTGGGATCTTGCATCTTTTTTGTTTGTTTGTTTGTTTGTTTTAATTGGTTTTTTTCCAGAAAGCCCAGAGGAAGATGCCAATGCCTCTTACTTTTCTAGCCTGGTATTTCAGCTGTATAGAGTACCCCCAGGTCACAATAGCTTTGTTATGTCCTTTCCGTTCCTGCCTAGTGCCTTGGGACTGATTTCCATTGATGGTAAACATCCACAGTCCCCATCTGAAGCCAAAAGAAGCTGCAGGCACTTCTCACTTCTCAGGACATGGCCAGAAGCAGGGTACTCTTGGCTGCACTGCTGGAAGAAGGGGTGCAAAACTCCTGTACTTGTGCTCCCACACCTGCACAAAAGAGATGTTTTCTGGCCTACCAGCTCTACAAAAGACAGGAAGAGCTTTGGATATCTGCTTGGGAAAAGGTCCACGTAACATGCACTGTTCCCCTCTGCTAGAAATTTGGATGTTTGGGAAAGAAGGAGGAAAATGGGTTAGGGAGTGAGGTTGCTGTAAGAACCCAATTCTCACAGGTAGTGCAGCTCTAGTGTTTGTTAAAGAGCGAGACAGCCACTAAGTAATAATGAAGTGCGTCTGAATATCTTAATTTTTATCGCAAGTTCCTTCCATACTGCAAGGGAACATGTGCATTGTGCGGGGTTTATTGGAGATGCACTAAAACCACCAAGATCAGGCACTGAGGAACAAGTGACAAAGAATACACGTGCCTTTTAAAGCCTTTTGGGTGCCTGTAAGAGGGATGTAATTTTGCACACCTGGTCATTTTATTACAAGTGACAGAATTTTGTGTGTCTCTCATCTCTCACAGATCAGGTAGTGAAACATCGCAACGTTATCCATTGCTCCTGCAGTCCACTGGCAGAGCAAACCCAGAGCTTGTCAAGAGACAGCAAGAAACCAAGCTGGGTTTAGACTAAGAGTAAACTAGGCAGGATAAAAATCAAAATGGGGCACAGACTGCAAGGTATAAGGTAGAAAATTCAAGAGGGCAAATGTGGCAAAATCAAAAATGCCCTTTCTGTGTGGGATGTTGAGATCAACTGAAATAATACAATTTGGGATTGATACAAAGACAAAGGCAGAATACTGTATTTTATATCTGCAATCTCATTGCTAGGCACTTATTTTCCCACAGGGTTTCTAGGACATAATTCAGACACAAATATTTTCAAATTCAGGGACAAGAGGGAAGAGACCTTAATTATTGGTACCTTATGGTGACTTAGCACATCTGAAATGTTCATTTTGATTTAGATGTCCTTTTTGTTGTAAGATGTCAGGGCGTACTGGCCCACTGTAGGGGCTTTCCGTGTTCCCAGGGACAGATGGTGGAGAATGGATTTTATTCTCTTGTATGGCCATGACTGACTTTAAGACTCATTTAAGTCTCATTTTGGCTGTACAACAGAGACAATTAGGCCTCATGTCCCTAACGCTTCATTACAGAAGGAGCAAGCTTGGTTTGAAAATGGTGTGGCATTCTAGGACATCAATCCTGAGCCTCGGACGTGGACTTCATGTCAATTATTACTTTAATATTTGTCATGTAACTTTCAAAATGGCACAACTTGCATAATAACCACTAATAACTGATGGAAACATACCACTCATGTTTCCTGGAACTCTCCAGTATGTTGAGTGTGAAATACAGAAAGCGATGAAGAACTTGGAGAATCAAGGGAGGCAAGAGGGAAAGGATGCGGTCTGTATCCTGTCAAATTCCCAGCCCTCTCCGCCTCCACCACCCCAAGGTAAAATGGGGATAATAATACTTGCAGAAGTGTTAGGACTATTTAAGTGTTTGTGAAGAATTTTGAGCATGAGAAGAGCTAAGTATTATTAAAACTCCATTTCTAATTGTTCGAGTAGGTGATGGAGCAGTGACGTGGATAAGTGTTTAGTGTGTTCCTGGACAGATTTTGAAAGCATGTTCAGTTTTACCCAATCCATACTGCAATCTCTCCTCTACTTACCAGTTGGGTTTAGGTTTTTGCCACGAATATTCCTTTTAACATTTTGAAGCACAAATGATTCATCCTGGGTAATGGAAACATCCCTTTTGAAATACTGCCTGTTTTATAAAGAATTAGTTGAGAAAATTTTTTTAAAGACAACCTTCTTTAAATTTGTTCTTTTTATTACAACAATTGAGAGATTTATGTTAAAATTCTCAGTGATTTTTACTACTTGTAAACAGGATTTTAAATTTCATCCCATTCCTAATAAAGAAAAAAATGTTGTATCGCATGAATTGTTGGGAAGAATTTTGATGTTGCATGAAAAACACCAAAAAACTTTTCAATAATATTGTACTGGGTAAGTAACCAAAAAAGTGTAGGGTATTTCTACATCAGCATACAGTATGTTTTTAATGTATTTATTGACAGTTTGTAGTTGTTTGAATATCTCTTACTACAGGCATTTTTCTAGCCAAATGTCATCACTGTATACGTAAATTAATGTAAGAATAAAAAATTTTATCATCCTTCTGGAATGAGTGTGGCATATATTCCTTTTGGCTGGATTTAAGCAGACTTTTTAGAAGGATATGGAGTACTGGATATTTGTTTACAATCAAAAAAAACCCCTGACACTGCTTTAGATTAGGAATCAATGTGCTTCACAGATATTTTGGTTTATACTTGAGTATCATAAAGCAGCTGCACATAGAAGTTCAGTAAATTCTAAGCTGAGCTAGACCAGATGAAGATCCATGAGGTCCAAGGATCTATCGGAATCATAAGTGGACATTATTTCTGTTTGAAGCAGGTTTGGGTTCAGCTGAGGCTGGATTTGTTTCAGTTTAGGCCAGTAACAGTATCCCGTGATTACTTTGTGCTTGAGAACATGGTATTTTAAAAATGGGAATGGAAAACTTGGAAGGCTTAAGCCCAAAGTATTGGAAATCGGCTTGGGAAGAATGTTAGCGTCTGACTCCCATTCCTATGTGAGAGTTCAAAGACCCACTGAGTGCCACAGGGTGTCCCAGCTCCGTAAATACGGCACGTAGGGTGGAGGTGATGGACGGCCTTGGCACTGTGCTGCTGTGGGCAGCGTGAGAGCTGCCTTCACACTGTGGGAGGGAGTGGGAAACGAGGTCCTAGGGCAGGACTCAAGCTCCCTTAGTTGCTTTGCAGCCAGCCCTGCTTGGCTCTCATCCGTGCGCCTGGAGATAAAGACATGCAGAAAGGCCGTGTCCACGTACTGGTGCACAGCAACCCAATGGCGGGGGAAGCTTGGGCTTTGCAGGGGTCTCCATTGCAGGAGCCACAGCTGGACCTGGCTCACCCAGCGCTGTTCCTTGGGGGCTGGGGGAAGTCCACGCACTGGCCCACAGCTCACGAGGGCTAACTGCAGAGGGCACCGAGCAAAGGCAATGGCCCACGCTGGCCAGGCAAGGTGGGCGGTGTGGTGAGAGGCCCTGCAGATCCTGCGAAGCACAAAGGAGCCTTGTTCGGGACAGGTTCCTGTGGCAGGAGCCGTTCATTTTTTGAGCAGGTACACGGAATAAGTCACTTGCTTCAGTTGCAGGCGAGGCTCAGCAAAGGCTTCACGACAGCCGTTTAAGCTCAGCTCAGCCCACGGGCCGGGAAGGGGCTCCAGCGCGTGTCAGGTTGGGCTTGTGGCGCCCCTTGCAAGAGGTGCCTGGCCAAGTCGGCAGCACCCTGCAGGAGCCCCGGGGCTTTGGGCTGGCAGGGCCCCTCTGGGGCTGGCAGGGCCCTTCGCGTGGCCGCGCGGTGTGAGGCCCGGCGCCCTCGCCCGAGGCGCCCACCCAACCGCGGGGAAGGCGGGGGGCAGAGACGCCTCGGCCCCTGGAAGCCCTCAGCCCCGAGGCGAGGTGCCGGCCGAGCAGGGCCCGAGGCCCGGCCAAC